AACTTCCAACGAAGCCTCCCACCAAACTGTAGCAAAGAACCATATTCTCTGAAATGATGCTGCTGAAGCCAGCTGCATCACAGCTTGCAAAGCTTCCGACCAAAACTGCAGTTCCTCAGTTACACAACGTGATGACAAATTTATCTAAGCTCTGTCTACGTGACAACTTCCACCTTCGCAATCCACTCTCAGCCACAAAAGCTGCGAAGAAAAGGCTCAAGGATGAAGTCCCTCACACCAGATCCTGTTCCAGACAGCCCCGGCAGAGCTGAGGCATTCTGCTGTCCCGGCCTCCTAGCATAAAACAAACTCTTTTTCTGTGATGAGCTACAACAGCCAGGCAGTTTGCATACCTACAACAGATGCACAAGGACCTCTTCACCAGTTCGCCATCACCTTTTCAGATAAATAGGTATCTCAAAAACAAAAATAGGTTTCTTTTAAATAGCATTAGTTGCCCTTCCACTCTGTTGTCTTGCCAACCACTGAGGGCTGTTGAAACAATTTCTTGGTCAGGCTAGTCTCCTGGCACCTGTGGGTTTTCCATACCTCTGTAAGCGTGATTCAAGGAAGCGCAGTCGCTCTTCTCTCAAGCTGCCTCCGCACAACTCCCCTATTCCTGGTACGAGGAGATCAACAGCTGCAACCTTAAAAGAAAGAAAATTAATTTAAGTCATGCCATGTAGCCATACACTGTATGGCAGAAGTACAGCTGACACTGATGGTTGGTTGTAAAAAGCTACTGTAATTCTTCCAGAGTCCAGGACACTTTGGTAAATATTAGCACGTGCTTGAAAAGTCCCTTGTTGGCAGGAGAAGACTGGGAGGGAACTTTACAATGACAGCCATCAGTAAGTCTACAGAAAACCTAAACAAGTGCAGTGATGTTCCAGACTGAGGACATCTACAGCAGGTGCCGTGAGCTGAATCCCACCAGGCTACTCTGGTGACAACCTGTGCAAGACTGTGAAGGCTATAAAGGATCCAACAGCAGCTCACAAGGAGGTAACGACACACAGGGAAGTTTCCCAAAGCTCTGATTCCCTTAGTTTAAACTGCTGGGAGGCTGTAACTTGTGTTTACTCGCTGTGTGCCTCCGTTCCTTGAGCCAGCTCTAGAGGCAATGATACCAATGGATCAATGGCAGTGATGTGCTGATCAAAGTGTTCGGATCCCAGAGTTGCCACCTATGCTGTTAGGTTTGGGCTGGTTGTCTACTATGTTTCATTTTGTAGGGTTATGTTTCTTATCCCACAGCTGAACTGGTGCTATAATTAAAGCCACCAAAGCGACAGTGGCACAAAGTATGGCAGTCATTCTTTTTAGCAGAAGCAACGTTTCAGGTTATCTCAGTTCAATTGGGAAATCACACCTTCAAAGCATGAGACTTACGGAGGAAGAGTTTATGTCTTGTGCTGCTCGGCTATTTGAGGATTACATGGATGCTGCACTTGGATGACAAAAGAATCATGGACTGCTTGGAGTCATGCAATTCTAGGCATCTCACCTAGCAGTACAGAAGTTAAATAGGAAAGCAGCTCTGTGGAGAGGGACCTGGGTGTCCTGGTGGATAACAGGTTGACCATGAGCCAGCAGTGTGCCCTGGTTGCCAAGAAGGCAAACGGGATCCTGGGGTGCATTAATAGGAGTGTGGCCAGCAGGTCGAGGGAGGTTCTCCTCCCCCTCTCCTCTGCCCTAGTGAGGCCCCATCTGGAGTACTGTGTCCAGTTCTGGGCTCCCCAGTTCAAGAAAGATGAGGAGCTACTGGAGAGAGTCCAGCGGAGTGCTACGAAGATGCTGAGGGGACGGGAGCATCTCTCCTAGGAGGAAAGGCTGAGGGAGCTGGGCTTGTTCAGCCTGGAGAAGAGAAGGCTGCGAGGGGACCTAATAAATGCTTATAAATATCTTCAGGGTGGGGGTCAGGAGGATGGGGCCAGACTCTTTTCAGTGGTGCCCAGCGACAGAACAAGGGGCAGTAGGCACAAACTGAAGCCGAGGAAGTTCCAGCTGAACATGAGGAAGAACTTCTTCACTCTCAGGATGGCAGAGCCCTGGAACAGGTTGCCCAGAGAGGTTGTGGATTCACCTTCTCTGAAGATATTCACAACCCGCCTGGACTTGGTCCTGTGCAGCCTGCTCTGGGTGACCCTGCTTTGGCAGGGGGGTTGGACTAGATGACCCACAGAGGTCCCTTTCAACCCCAAACACTCTGTGAAAAGAAAGAAACTATCACAAACTTGTCCTAAGGGACTTAAGCAAAAACTTAATGCTATCCAACTCCTGAATCTTCGTCCGCCTGTTCCTGCTTTGGGGATTTCTTCTACAACAGGAAAAAGACTGGACAGGATTACCTGATGGTCACATCTTATCTCAGACTTCTTGACTGGAGGGCCAGCAGACGACTATCCTCATCTGTGTATCTATCAGTAGACTAAGACACAGGCCTAGCCAAAAAAGCGGTGGAAGTGTGACCCACGGACTCACTGTGTGTTGAGGTCCATCTTCATTGTCCCGCATGTAGAAAGGTTTGAGATCGTACGGGAAGTTAATCACAAACACAGGAACCTCACCGCAGTGCTTCACCAAATACTTTTCATGTTCCGTTTGGAGGTCGCAGCCCCACTGTAAAGACAGAAAAAGGGACCTGGGATCCTGCTTTGGTGCATCTCGCCTGTGGCAAGAGACACAGCAAAATCCCTGCGTAGGAGAGATGTGCAGCTTTGAATAAATGAAACCAAGCACAGCAACTCATACAGGCCACTGGGAAAATTTGCTAAGCAGACAAAATTTCATGAGTTTTAAGGCAGAGAAAAGCCATGAAAATAACATGGTTTAACTTCCACAGAACAGGGCCAGATCATCCTTGCATCAAGCCCAAGCATCTGGTATCGAATCAGAAAAAAACCCAAACAAACAAACAAACAAACCCAAACCCACACTCCACATAGCTTAAGGGAAACAGGCACCCATCCAAAGTCAGCTTACTCAACCCAGCCAACCAGCCTTATTTCAGTATTACCGTCGATATATAGCAAGCAGCTTTGCTAGGCTGACTGCTCTCTTCCCTGCTGGGTCCTGTTACATGCTACATTAACTCTCACTTAAGAATACCCAGCATCCTATCAGCCAGTTCTTTGTTATCAGAAACCTTGGACATTTGCAATGCCCTTCACTTCTCCTTTCTTCCAGTGACACTGTAAATTCTGTGGCTTTTGACTAAAGACCTCCAGCCCACTATAGGAGGCACAAAGAGTATCGGGGGAGTGGAAGGCGAAGAGGGGAACAGATATTCCGCAGACTCTCCTCATCTGATAATATCCTGAGTTTGTTGTCACAGATGAAGGTAGTACAGATACAGCATTTGAGGTTCTACACCCACTTGTACATGAGACAGTTACCCAACCGGCTACGAAGGTGGCTTCAGCCAGAGGGTTATTTTCCTCAAAGCATCACAATGAGAGACGGATTAACCAGTATGCACATGGGATGAGCCCCACAACAAATGCTCTCCCTACTGGTGTGTGTGTTTCAAAGTGCTAGAAAGACTAGCATGCGATTCTCTTTCCCAGGCAACATCCGTGCTTTGGAAAGACAAGGGATTCCCTTTAAGTGCACCTAGATTACGTGGGATTTTGACATGGTTTTGGCTTCACGGTCTTTGTCAAACTGTTGGTGCTATCCTAATATCACTGCTTCATTTGAGGACTATTGCAGCAACCCGCCTTAGATGACTGCTGCCGCATCCACAACACACTCGGCACTACTCGCATACAGGAAAGAGAAGTGCTTTTGCCAAAGCCTTGGTCCTTCAACAGCAAGCTCATCACTTCCTCCCCTGCAAATGTTACATGTTCTTCTGCTACAGGTCTCACTCCTTATATTGCTCCCATTTCAACCCCAAAGGTCAAAACCAATACCTGGGTTACAATTGAGCAAACACCCCAGGAGACAGATAGCAACAACTCTTGTAGTATCAGAAAGAGAGAAATGAGATTTACAAAGTTCAGGCTGGCTGTGTGCATGAGCAGGCGCAGGGACAAGCCACCAGGCACCTACCTACCTCTGGCTTGAAAGTGAAAGTTTGAGAAGCTTGCTTCAAAATTTCCACTGCTTCATTGTAGGAAATTCTGCAAGAGGAAAAAAAAAAGTCTTTAAGATAACTATGAAAGGAACAACAAGAAAGTTTTCTGGCTAAGTGCCGCGCTGGAAAATTAAGGAGGTATTTCCCCACCACCATGCCAACTTGTGCTGTGATGTCAGACTTCCCAGCAATGCTTTGTTGGACAGAAACCAAAAGCCATTTTCTATGGCAAGAACCCTATGCTTCCCGGTGCTTCAGCTACAGGCAGGGCAGGAAGCGCTAAGCTCTCAAGACACTTTGCATTACTGCAATGATGCATTTCAGTCAGAAGTGAGTTCTGCAGAGAATCGCTTCATAGAAATCCATGGAATTTTTTTTAAGAAAACAATGTGCCCTCTTCGGCATAGCTCCAACAACACAGCTCTGCTGTTCAGGGGGGTGTTAGGCAAAAATAACTGCCCAGTTATTTTTGTATAAATGTAGCTCAAACATTTTCATTTTACTTTGCAAAAATCCTGAGATTTATTTGCAGCAATGTTTCACTACTCCTCTGACAGATCTGACAACAGATTCTCCATCGACTTCCCCCAGTGCAAAAGAATAGCATCATGGCAGGGCAAAGAGGAAAACTTCAGTGAAAGATGCTGTAGGTTTGACAACTGGAAATCAAGACTCAATGGAAGATGCTGCTGCTGACAAGTTTTCCACATACCAAGAAAACGTGGACAGAGAGAAGAAAGAATAACCTGATCACAACAGTTCCATCTCTCCGTATCATTGGCTAAACCTAATTATAAACCCAATTCCCCACAGAGCACGAGCTCTTTACAACCAGCTACCAGGTTTCGCTAACACAGGGAGGGCTTTTGGAGGAAATACCTCAGGAAGGAACATATTGCTCCATGTGTTTGGGTTAAGTGAGGCCATGGTCCAGCTGAGGTGTACCAGTGGCACAGGTTCAATGCATGTAACTGATGGGTGTAAGCCAGGAATGC